TTTTCCTTCCTTCGAACACATCTATACGCCCGGCGTTCGTTTCTCCCGAGGGGATCTACAGCATATTCAAGACATGACTATGGGACACGGATTCGCTGAGCCCTTCGGAGCTTTGGGTTAGTGATTCATTTTTATTTTTTAAAAGGAAAACTTTAATAGAAGTACTTTCGAAACTTGGGTAATATTCTCGAATAATAACGGAGTTTTAACTATTTGAGCTCTGGCTGCCACTGAGATTTTTTCTTCAGATAATACGGACTGAATGAAAAGTGATTAATTCAGCAAAAAGATTCACGCTGATTTCGGGAATGAGGCTGCGAGGGAAATTTTTGAAGTGGATGACGTATTTTTCAGGTATTCTTTTTCGTGTTGAAAATTGCTTCCCTCCCATCCGTCGTTATCTTATTATACAAAGGTAGCATGAATATTGTACAGTTTGGAAATTTCCTGAATTAAAAGTGATTAAATGAACAAAAAAATTTACGTTGATTTCGGAAATTTGGCTTCTGTGAGGATGTAAATGTTTTTGGTGGGTGAAATATTTCTTTAAATATTATTTTTTTCTCATTGAAAATCGCCTGGAAAAATTTAATGGTAAAAAGTATAACTTTAAAATTTTTTATGATTGAATTTGCATTACAGCCTTTCCACACTACAGACTGGTCTGTTGAACAAATTAAGTCTGTTGTGCGGGGTTTGTCTGTAGATGATTCTTTCTGTTGCCTCTCAACATATTGAACTATTACTATGTAAGTTTCAGGGAATAATCTGGTACCAAAGAGTCATCTTTATGTCATAATGGCAAATACTGTAAAGTAAACCCCTGAACAATGGACTTGATTTGTGCAACAGACTGGTCCGCTGTGTGAAAAAGTCTGTTGTGTGAATTCAATAATTAAAAAATTAAAATTTTCACTTCTTAATTTTAAATTCAAATTAATTTTAATCTTAAATTAATTTTAATCTTAAATTAATTTTAAACCATTAATTTAAAACCATTAATTTTAAACCAACATAAGTCTGTTATGCAGATTTAGTCCATTGTGCGGGAGGGAAAACTATCCTCCACAGAGGTGGTCTGTTGTGTGTGAAAATCTTTTCTGCGGGAGGTCTGTTGTGTGGGGGTCGACTGTACATTAAAACTTACAGAAAACGGTCTTTCCATTGGACCTATAGTCAATTAATTTCTTTTTTTTTCAATAGTGATGATTTGCTATTTTTATGCATATTATTGCAGTGAGTGGTGACTTCATGGACTTATTTCGTGCGGATGATAAGATGGGCCTCCTGGGATACCTCGCCGTGTTCTCGCCGGTTTTTGAAGACTCGTCATCATCACTACCACAACTACCTAACTCAGATCTCGAAAATTCCAAGGTGAGTCTTGCTAAATAATCCCCTGTCAATTGTTCATGAAGACCGATAGTCTTCTCTTTATCACGCATAGTTTTCATGGGCGATAAAAAAAAGACACGCGAATGGAATCTTAAACGGGCGTAAAAGTCGACAAATTTCAAGTGGAGTTTTCCTATATACAGTATAAGTAAGATTCGCGACAGGATTTTGAAAATTATGAGGGAAATTGTCTAAAGAATTACAGGATAATTGAAAGAAACGGGGAAAATTGCCTCGTTTAATTAGATCCTTTATTTTACACGAGTCCAGCTGGCAGTTTCCTCTCTCTTTCTGTAATTTATTGTCTAATGAAAAACATTATAATTCCAAAACCGAATGTTGTGAAATCGTCTTGTTTTCGTCAATAAGTTTGAAAGACATGAATAAGTGTACTTAGACCAGTGAATATTCTAAAATAGAAGGTAGCGAAGAGGTGATGTAGTATAATAATAATTTTTCCCACTCATAATAAGGTGATTTCAGATCAACCACAATTTCGCAATAATAATGCTCCAGTAAACAGAAAAATTCTTACATACGCATCACAAGACGCTTTCATTTCTTTTTAATGACAATGCGTGCATATATACAAGAACGCGAATAAAAATTTGCATTTTAAATTAATCTAATACATGTTATGGCAGCTATAGGGTGCTTCGAAAGGAACAGAAAAGTTTTGTTGCTGTAGATTTCATATTCAAATGTGTAAGAACCATTTATTATTATTTTTTAGTGTAGATTTTATCTTCGTATGTGCAAGAACAATTTTAAATTTGTTTGAAGGGAAAATACCTTCTTTTCAGAGTAGAAATTTGAATTGCATTTTAAAAGTTACTTCCAGAAGGTTTTTGCTTGCGTCCCTCTGAAGAGTTTTGCTTCATTCACATAGGTGTCGCATGAGTCGCGTTGTATTTTGCTCAAGGATCGAAAGGGTTATCAAAATAGCTATAGGTAATGCTCAAACCGGGATGAAAAATTTGTAAATGCCTGTCTTAATGGAGTTTCAGATGTCATTGTTTCCAACCATTCAGTTTTTTACTGATTATTTTCGAAAATTCGTGCGTTACAATGACAGAGATCGTGAACCAATTCATTATACGCGGCCAAGCAATTACTGTATACTGATATTGCGTTTCCGCAAAATTCACCGAGTTTAAAAAATACATAAATCAAAACGTTTCGTGTGGATTATAGATGGAAGAATACCAGTGGCTACCAAGACGGATCTGGAGACAGCTGCAAACGATGCTCGGCTTCGAGACGACCCAACAAGAATAAATGCGCATGAAATCGTCAGCAAAACAAAACGAGACAAGGGAAAACTCTTCCCACAGGAGAAAGACCGACATCTGTCCCAAAAAAAAAAAAACGAAGAAGCATAATGCATTCAGCAAAAAGTCCCATGGAGAACGATCTCAAACGATGAAACGCCGTCACATTCGTTGGAGCTCATTTGCGTCGTTCAAACGTCTTCTTTCATCACATGTATGTTCTCAAGCTCGGGAGAAAACGCTGCCGTTGTAAAAAAAAAAAAAAGGAGTTTGTTCTTCTGCTTTGAACTTTTTTTTTTAGTACATTCATTTGTTTTAATTTGATTGTGAGAATATTCCTCGATGTTGTATGAGTCACAGTAAATGACGAGATTCTCACGTGGCGGAATGACACTGAGTCTTTCAGTGACATCTAGGATCAGGTACAGAAGATTACGCTCCTTGTTCTTGTGAATTCCCAACACCTTCTTATTCCGAGTGCCGTCTGGAATACGATCTCATTCAGGTAGGTGTCGCCTCCACCGCAATAACTTCATCTCATCCAACATTTATTCTAGAATTATGCAATAATCTAACCTCATTAAAAAATTTATTCGCAATATCAGGAATGCAAAAGTAATCAGAAGTTCTCATGCAATCAATGATCTACCAATCATGAACTGTCTCCTCTATCAAATATTTGGCACTGCTATTTTCACCCGTTTCAGTGCCTTTTTCCCCATGCTTTCTCAAGTTCCAAAAACTCGACATTTCTCCTTACATAAAAAAAGTCTGCGTTAAAAATAAAACGTTCTTCTAATTCAATATCATCCAGCCCATTTTGCAGATACTCAAATGCTCACTTCACCCAATCCTCGACCGAATCCAGCAACAATAATCCTCTCTGCAAAATGAGGCACTTATACTGTACATATACAGGCCCAAGAAATAAGTTGAAAAATACCCAGCTCACATTAAAATGGCAGGAATTTGTTTTTTCATCAGTACTTCTCATAAATCGAGGAAACAGTGATCCGGCGACTCGCGATATTTTTTTTAATTTTCGGCATGCCATGCACTGGACGTTTTATTCTGCAGTATTCCACCGAATTGCACAACGTCAGGAAGAATTATTGAAAGGATGACATCTTGCATATATGCGACATCTTTAAATAATGAAGAAGTCAAACCTCAAAGCAAACGGGATCTTTCTCTATATACAGTCGGGTTTCTCTATAACGAATGCCCCACAACGTCAGTAAAAGTTCTGTACTGTATTAGCATGCAACCAACCAAAGGAATAAACATGTCTTTGATAAGTTTCATACAAAAAGAAACAAAAGACAAAATTCATCAATCCACAAAATAAGAAAGATCATAAATTATGTGTCCTTTAATAACAAAGGTGGAATGAAGAGTCATTTGTCTTGTCAAAATAAGTTGCCAGTTGATCAAATCCATGCGATTCTTCATCAACTTTACATTTTCAATTCCTTGAAATACACATGGTATAGAACACAAATTTCTTGCTAATTTACGTAAAATTTTAATACGGCATATATAAATCATTATTGCCTGACAATATGAATATGGACTTTCAAAACAACCTCATTCCTCAATTTTGGCCCAGGATTGAGAAAATATAAAATAGTTGATGTACAGTACATTTATGAAATATCACTTAAAAACTTTCAAAAGTACTATCAGTTCAACAAAATTTCAAAATAAGCACATGATCTTCTTATTTGGCTTGTATTTACTTGCAAATAGCACTGTCTTTCCAAATTTGAGTTATAAAAAGTGTAGGCTTGCATGCTCATATATGTTAAAGTTCTCTTTAGAGACCTCAGCATTCTATGTTAGTTTTTAATTATGAAGAATAAGGAACTATGTGCTTCCATGCAGTTTTTAGTCAGACTGAATGTACAGTATTTCATCATCTTCTAATCCAAAATTTAGCAAAGGAACTTAATTTTCACAAGACAATAGCAAATTCCGCAAATGGATTAAATCAAATAACCACCAGTCCAGTGCACGTGGAGCACCAGCCTATATCTGATAAAAACAACAATTGCTTTGCAAAACAGCACAATTAAAATAATTCCAAAAACATAAAAAGAAAGGCTATTCAATTTGCTACAAATCAATACCCTGGTTATCGAGATTCCATCTCAACAATTAATAAGTGCTTTCATTTGAGGCCAGGCAACTTTTCAATGAGCTACTTGAGAAAAAATGAAATATATATACCGTATTTACTCAAGTACCACGTGCCCTCAAGTAAGGCGTGCACAGGGGTTTTTCAGTTGGAAATTTTGCTAAAACCTCATCCCCAAGTAAGACACACACCCCAATTTTTAGTGAATCTAAATCCACAAAATTTTGAAAAAAAAAATTTGACTTCAGACATGAATTGAATACAAATCTGATCAATTTTCAACTTTTTCAGTATAAACAAGTTTTCTTGGTACATTTGTTCCAAAGTTCTCCATTATAATTAAGTATAATGCACAAATAACTTCCTAAAACTTCTTGAAAAATTTGTACCTGCTTATTACGCGCACCCTTTTTTTTCTTCTGAAATTTGAGAAAAAGGTGCATGTGGTATTCAAGTAAATATGGCAATACACTCTTAAAGGCAGACAAGTATTGCATTCACTTCATCTACTTTTTTAAATAAATTTTTTCTATGCAACTGACAAAACTTTTGAACAAATGCAGATTTTTGAAGTCCAATATTATAAGCTTCCTTTATTTTTCAGTGTAACTTATGAAATAAAATCTTTCCTCTTGAATTAAAGAACGCATTTTCATCCAGTCACATAATTATTATAAAGAATGAGACAAGCACTCATATCTTCATTCGCAGAGCAGCAAGGGATGGGTTCTCTCTCATCTCTCTCTCAGTCTAATGAGTTGACAAGGCTGGTCTCAAAAACGGCGAGCAAATAATACGAGTACTTCCCACGCCTTCATCCGTGTGAGTGCATAAAAATTAGCTCAAACAGGATATAAAATAAAATTCCAAAGCTCCCTTGCAAAACTAATGAACCAGCCTGCATGGCAGTGAATGATAAAAAGAAATCTCTCTTTTTTCTCTCTCTCTCTCTTCCTCCCATGGTTCGAAAAAAAAACCAAGAGCCAGCGTCACGCGACGACAAAGGAGAAGAACACGAGAAAAAGAATGAATGCAAGCAGGGACTTTTCGAACCCATGTATATATACAGCAAAGGAAACCCGGGTAACATGATGGGTGTACATTGAGGCCAGCATATACAGGGCATGTACATGCCGTCGTGTCGTGACCGTCCAAACAGGGTGCCACAAATATATCCACTGAACATTTGCTCATCATGTGGGCATCGCACATCTGCTTTTAGAAAAGAGTTTTTAAAATAAATTATTTTTGACTGCATTGTCAATGTAAAATTACAATTTTTAGTGTAGCATGTGCCGCTGAACCACACGTTTTTCTATTTATGAATGAATGAACAGAAAACTTCATTTGCCGCTTTTCAGCGTTCACAAGGGATAAGCAGAACTCCTGCATCCAAACCCCCTCCCCACCCAACCCAACTCCCCCAAATACATTTAATCATTTCAAAGCATGAAACAAAGCACAAACAAATGACAAAAATAAAAGAGAACACACTCCACAAAATAAAACTGTACATCCTACACGTATGTTGCATACACCCACCCATCCCCAATATTGAAGACAAAGCAGCAGTAAAAGTTTATTTAAATTTATATTTCTATTTATATTTTAAATAATTAGGGATTACACATTTCCGTGCAGACCTGTTTTGGCGCAGACTTGAAATTATCTGAATTGCCAAAAGATTTCTATTTTTTTTTTGAATTCTCACTATAGTTCCAAAAAGAGGCCAGACAGACACCTACTTGATGGAATCACCAACACTTGAATCAATGAATGAATGAACAGAACACTTTATTTGCCGCTTTTCAGTGTTCAGAAGGTTCAGTCAAGATTTCCACATCCAAACCCCCTCCCCACCCAACCCAAATCAACTCCAAGACATTTAATCACTTCAGAGCAGGAAACAGAGCACAAATGGATAACAAAAAAAAGAAAATACAATCCACAAAATACAACTGGACATCTGACATGTATGCATACACCCATTCCTTCNTAGGCTTGCATGCTCATATATGTTAAAGTTCTCTTTAGAGACCTCAGCATTCTATGTTAGTTTTTAATTATGAAGAATAAGGAACTATGTGCTTCCATGCAGTTTTTAGTCAGACTGAATGTACAGTATTTCATCATCTTCTAATCCAAAATTCAGCAGAGGAACTTAATTTTCACAAGACAATAGCAAATTCCGCAAATGGATTAAATCAAATAACCACCAGTCCAGTGCACGTGGAGCACCAGCCTATATCTGATAAAAACAACAATTGCTTTGCAAAACAGCACAATTAAAATAATTCCAAAAACATAAAAAGAAAGGCTATTCAATTTGCTACAAATCAATACCCTGGTTATCGAGATTCCATCTCAACAATTAATAAGTGCTTTCATTTGAGGCCAGGCAACTTTTCAATGAGCTACTTGAGAAAAAATGAAATATATATACCGTATTTACTCAAGTACCACGTGCCCTCAAGTAAGGCGTGCACAGGGGTTTTTCAGTTGGAAATTTTGCTAAAACCTTATCCCCAAGTAAGACTTGCACCCCAATTTTTAGTGCATCCAAAACCACACAATTTTGAAAATAACAACAAAAATTTGACTTCAGACATGAATTGAATAAAATCTGATCAATTTTCACCTTTTTCAGTATAAACAAGTTTTCTTGGTACATTTGTTCCAAATTTCTCCATTATAATTAAGTATAATGCACAAATAACTTCCGAAAAATTCTTGAAAAATTTGTACCTGCTTATTACGTGCACCCCTTTTTTTTCTTCTGAAATTTGAGAAAAAGGTGCATGTGGTACTCAAGTAAATATGGCAATACACGCTTAAAGGCAGACAAGTACTGTATTGCATTTACTTCAAGCAACATCTTCTAATTTTTTAAATAGTCTTTTCTATGCAACTGACAAAACTTTTGAACAAATGCAGATTTTTGAAGTCCGATATTATAAGCTTCCTTTATTTCTCAGTGTAACTTATGAAGTAAAATCTCTCCTCTTGAATTAAAGAACGCATTTTCATCCAGTCACATAATTATTATAAAGAATGAGACAAGCTCTCATATCTTCATTCGCAGAGCAGCAAGGGATGGGTTCTCTCTCTCTCAGTCTAATGAGTTGACAAGGCTGGTCTCAAAAACGGCGAGCAAATAATAC